AATTTACTTATGTTTTAAGGGTCAATTTAATAATCATACACAATTCTCATACATATATAATTAAGTCAATGCTCAGAAGTGAATGCAAATGTATTTCACATAATTTCATAAAATATAACTAATAAGTTAGTATTGTACCTACAATGCAATTGTTTGATCTAAGTCATTATCTTCTTATTTATTACGGAGTAATATGTATATATAAATTGCTCGACATAGGACCAAAATAGACTTAAGGTGTTAAAATAGGACTAAGTATGTTTTATTCGAAATATGACTAATTTAGTCCTATTTAAGAAATAAGTTAATCAAACTTCTAAAAATAGGAGAGAATGAGCCTTATTTGGAGAATAAAACAATGATGGTCCTATTTACGAACTTAATCATTGTTTCAATCCTATTTAGGGGATTTTCTTGTAATATATAAATTGTTTAATTGTAACATTCTAATTGATTCACGCAGATAAGATGTCGCACCTTGAAGGCATCATAGAGTTTATCATAAAATTGTTTATTTTTCTTCTTCTTCTTTTTAGGGGGAGGGGGGGGGGGGCATGTAACATACTATTTGATCCACGCATATAAGATGTCGCTCCTTGAAGGCACCATAAAACTTACCATAAAACTATTTATTTTTCTTCTTTTTTTGAGGAGAGGGATTATGAGGCTTTATAACATCTCCTTTCTTGTTTAGGAGTTTAAAAATTGGAAAAAATGGTTTTGATGAGTTTTTGTGAACCTTTAAACCCTTTCAAGTGTTTAATTGTTAAGTTCCTCCAAAATGGAAGATTTTGAAAGATAACTAATTAAATCATGATTTTAACTTAACTTAAAATGAATATAAGTTCAACTATTTAAATTCACCATAACTTTGAAGTGATTTTAATTATAATTCCTTCTTTGTCCTCTCTATTCAAATTTGTTAACTCCCAAACAAAAAGAAGAACTTCCCTCCGATTCACCTTCTAAGATTAACCTTCAAAACCTTCCACTCCTTTTCTGTCTAAACACCCAAACACACCCTAAATATATTGTTTTCTTTGATCTCCATCTTTATAAAATGTTGGGAACCATGCATCATGCATGCATGGATGCATATTTATAATTTAAATTTGAGTGCATGCATGGCATATAATCTATATATGAAGCACAAAGCCCCATGTTTCACTATTTTGGAAACTTGAAAGCATGTCGAAAACTCATAACTTCAAATTCTCATTTTTAGACCATTAGTGTAATTAAGAAATATTGAAATTTGTTTCCCAAATAATTAAGGTTTTGGAAACTTCCAGATTCCTATTTTTTAATTCCATGATGGAAAATAAAATCTTTTTAAGGATTTTTTATGAGTTTTTTTCCTAGCAAAGTGTGATATTTCACAACATTATACATCGCTAACGGATTGAGCTTTATTTAAATTGCTCAATAAAAACATTATATTTGACCCACATAGATAACATTATATTTGCCGTAAGACTGTTTACTTTTCTTCTTTTTTGGGGAGGGGGATCGGGAGGGGGCATGACCTTCTGTGCCTCTACAAAGTTGTGCATCTAAGGGTATGTTTAGGAGTTGAGTTTTGGAGGAAAGGACATGGATTATGAGGGTTTGTGACATCTCCTTTTTTGTTTGGGAGTTTAAAACATGGATTATGAGGGAAGGACATGGATTATGTTGGTTTTGAAGGGTTTTTGTGAACCTTTAATACCTTTCAAATTTTTTAGTTCTTCCAAATTGAAAGATTTTGAAAGATAAGTAATTAAATAATGACATTAACTTAACTTAAAATGAATATAAGATCAACAATTTAAATTCGCCGTATCTTTGAAGTGATTTTAATTATAATTCATTCTTAGCTCCCCTCCATTCAAATTTGTAACCCCCCAACAAAAAGAAGAACTTTCTTCATACCCCTTCCCCTTCTAAGACTAACCATTAAAACCTCCCAAACATACCCTAAATATATTGTTTTCTTTGATCTCCATCTTTATAAAATGTTGTGAATTTAATCATGCATGCATGGATGCATATTTATAATTTAAATTTGAGTGCATGCATGGCTTCAATACAGAGCCTCATGTTTCTCTATTTTTGAAACCTGAAAATCAAGTCGAAAACTCATAATATTCAAATTCTCATTATGAGACCATGACTGTAATTGAGAAGAATTGAACATTGTTTTCCAAATAAATAAGGTTTTGGAAATTTCTAGATTCCTATTTTTTAATTCCATGATGGAAAATAACGTCTATATAAAAACTTTTTAAAGATTATTAGATTTTTCCTAGCAAAACTATGATATTTCACAACATTATACATTGCTAAAAACGGATTGAGCTTTATTTATATTGCTAAATTGTAACATTATATTTGACCCACATAGATAAGATAGTGCACCTTGAAGGTACCATAGAATTTACCATAAAACTGTTTATTTTTTTATCTTTTTTTTTGGGGGGGGGGGGAGGGGAGGGGGGCATGACCTTCTACGCCTATACAAAGATGTGCCCCTAAGGGTATGTTTGGGAGTTGAGTTTTGGAGGGAAGGACGTGGATTATGAGGGTTTGTGACATCTCGTTTCTTGTTTGGGAGTTTAAAAATTTGAAAGGATTGGTTTTGAAGGGTTTTTGTGAACCTTTAAAAACTTTCGAATGTTCAATTTTCAAGTTCCTCCACATTGGAAGATTCTAAAAGATAACTAATTAAAAAATGACTTTAACTTAATTTATAATGAATATAAGTTCAACTATTTCAATTTATCTTATCTTTGAAATAATTTTAATAATAATTTCATCTTAGCCCCCTCTATTCAAATTTGTATCTCCCAAACAAAAAGAACTTTCTCCCCCCCCCCCCCCCCCCCCCTCGGTAAGACTAACCTTTAAAGTCATCCACTCTTTTTCTCTCTAAACACCCGAACATATCCTAAATATATTGTTTTCTTGGATCTCCGTCTTTATAAAATGTTGTGAACCATGCATCATGCATGCATAGATGCATATGTATAATTTAAATTTGAGTGAATGAATGGCATATAATATATGAAGCACAAAGCCTCATGTTTCTCTATTTTGGAAACTCCAAAGCATGTCGAAAACTCATAACATTCACATTCTCATTTTGAGACCATTACTGTTACTAAGAAGAATTGAAAATTGTTTTCCAAGTAATTAAGGTTTTGCGAATTTCCAGATTCCTATTTTTTAATTCCATGATGGAAAATAACGTCTTTATAAAAGCATTTTAAGGATTTTTTTATATGAGATTTTTTCCAAGCAAAAGTGTGGTATCTCACAACATTATACATTGCGAAAAACAGATTGAGTTTTATTTAAATTGCTCAATTGCAACATTATATTTGACCCACGTAGATAAGATACCGCACCTTGAAGGTAGCTACCACAAAATTTACCATAAAAGTTTATTTTTCTTCTTTGGGGGGTTAAATTTATGCGCCTCTACAAAGATGTGCCCATAAGGATATGTTTGGGAGTCGAGTTTTGGAGGGAAGGACATGGATTGTGAGGGTTTGTGACATCTCCTTTCTTGGTTGGAAGTTTTAAAAATTGAAAGGATTGGTTTTGAAGGGGTTTTGTGAACCTTTAAAACCTTTCGAATGTTCAATTTTTTAGTTCCTCCGGATTGAAAGATTTTGAAAGATAGCTAATTAAATATTGACTTTAACTTAACTTAAAATGAATATAAGTTCAGCTATTTAAATTCGTCGTATCTTTGAAATGATTTTAATTATAATTCCTTCTTAGCCCCCTCTATTCAAATTTGTAACTCCCAAATTAAAAGAAGAACTTTCTTCCATCCCCCTCCCCTTCTAAGACTAACCTTCAAAGCGCAACCTTCCATTCTTTCTCTCTCTTAACTCCCAAACATATCCTAAATATATGGTTTTGGGAAAACTGTCAAATAGGTCATCGAACTTTCATAAAAAAGTCAATTAAGTCCTTCTATAGGAGACTCTGTCCGGTCATCGCGTTTTGGGGCGGTTCCCGGTGGAATTTTTTGATGAAATTTTTAGAGCATCTTATTCATCAAGTCTAGTTTACTCATACCAAATTTTAGCTAAAAATTTAATCAGGAGCACATTCAAATTAATTCGAGAAAACAAAAATGCGCAGTTATCTTCAAGAATTAATTTGGATGTGTTCCCGATTGAATTTTTAGCTGAAATTTGATATGAGTAAACTAGGCTTGGTGAATAAGATGCTAAAAAAATTTCATCAAAAAACTCCACCGGGAATTGCCCCAAATCGCGACGGCCGGACAGAACCTCCTATAGAAGGACTTAATTGACCTTTTTATGAAAGTTCAAGAACCTATTTGACAGTTTTCCCTATGGTTTTCTTTGATCTCCATTTTTATAAAATGTCGTGAACCATGCATCATGCATGCATATAATTTAAATTGAGTGCATGCATGGTATATAATCTACGAGGCACAGAGCCTCAGAAGTTCCAATTCTCGAAAGCATGTCGGAGACTCAGAAATTTCCAATTCTCGTTTTGAGACCATTATAGCAATTAGGAAGAATTGAAAATTGTTTTCCTAAATAATTAAGGTTTTGGAAACTTCTGGATTCCTGTTTTTAATTCCACGATGGAAAATAAAGCTTATATATAAAATTAAAAAAATGATTTTTTATGAGATTTTTTCCTAGCAAAAGTGTGGTGTTTCACAACATTATACATCGCTAAAACCGGATTGAGATTTATGTTTAATCATGCATGTACTAGTTCTAATAATTCATAAATTTGACGTGAAGCATGTATTAATTACTAGTATTGGTCTTCAAACAAAGTTATATGAAGGAAAAAAAAGTTAAATGAAGGAAATGTCAATATATATATATATATATATATATATATATATATATATATATATATATAGACACAGTATATGAAATATATATATGTGTACATACATGGAAAAATACGTAGAAATATATACCCTCCTTATATTTTTCAATATTTAAGTGTTTCAAACTTATAAATCATTTTTCTCGCGAGTCATGTTACTTGTTTCTCGTTTCCATACTACTTGGAATATAATGCATGGGGAGTTGCAGCGAGAGCTCAGATGTTTTAGAGGGTCGGTGGAAATATTCAAGCCTTGGGATCAGTCCAACTTCACAAGCAGAAGATAAGAAGCAGCTTCTTCTTGCTGCCTCAGCTGCAGCGAAGGCGGCGGCAGCAGCAGCGGCTTCAAATCCTTCCTCTTCTCGCTCCTTCACCGGTCAGTAACGTACTAGTAATTGATATATAGGAAGTTCTTGTCCTAAATTGAATTGCAAATTGCGGTGTTTAAGTGTTGCCCGTAGTGGCAGTACTATGATCTATGACAAAGGAGGTAGTTAACTGAGTTTTAAGTTGCAGATCTGCCATGCCCCTTACCGTTGGCTGAAGTCCAGGAGAACCTCAATTTGGTGAACAAGGATCAAGCAGCTTCACATGCAAACAATACTAATACTAATGGTGGAGCAATTACGGCTCGTACGTCACCATCATTGTTATCCATATGGGAAAATATGATGCGCAAGAAATCTTCACCTAATTCCAACCCTCCTCTAAATAACAATCAAAATGTTCACTCATCCACGGGTGACATCGGTCGTAGCCCAATGTTTCAAGTTGGAAACTACTCATCATCAACCAGTGCTGCTCCTCCCCCTACTGCTACTAACCTTCTCAACCTGCCGCCACCGCTGCCACAGGTACTATGCATATGTCATGTCGAGTAGTGATCCTGTCAGACCGGCCTGACAGGACTCGTCGTCCGGCCGAGGGCTTTTTGGGATCTGGAATTTTTCGTTGAACTTTTTTTAGCAAGCCAAGGATCGAACATCTTTTAAGCCGTTTAAATTAATACATTACTTGTTTCACAGGGAGATTACGGATCTAGGTGGAACATCCCCACATTACCAGCAAATGCTAGCAACTGCAGCGGCAGCATCAACAACCGTTATCATCCGCTAGTGAGCAACAACAACAGTAACACCGCCACTGCCACAAACAACACCAGTTATCATTCGCTAGCAAGCAGTAGCGACAGTCACAACACCACCACCACCAACAACAAATGTTATCTTCCGCTAATAAGCAGCAATAGTACCAACAACAACGCCATCTACAACAACACCAACCAATATCATCCGCTAGTAAGCAGCAACAGTAACAACAACACAACCAACACCAACCGGTATTATCCGCTAGTAAGCAGCAACAGTGACAATGACAAAAATAGTTTTCTTTTACCAGTCAGCAACAACATCGTTGGTGCAAATCCACTACAAGGTGGTGTTGCTATTCAACCCTCATATGCACCTCCGAACCCTAATGCTTACCTCACATCTGCTGCTACTTCTGCTTGCAACATCCCCACAGCGGGACAAGGACAGGACAAAGTGCTTAGTGTGAACTTCAACAATGAGAGTAGAAGACAGCTTGAGCCAACTAGTGAAGTAAGTAACCTAGCATCATCATCATGGGAGGGTATACTAGCAGTCGCCACTGCCAGCTTAACTGGTCATGCAGTGGCCCCGGTTCAGCAAATGGGCCAAGGACAACAAGAACAAGCCTTAACTCATCACGTGGCGGCCCCAGTTCAAATTGAACAAGGAAAGCAAGAACAAGCCTTAAGTGGCCATTTGGCAGCGCCAATTCAAATGGGCCAAGGACGACAACAACAACAACAACAACATGCCATAACGGGTCATGTGTCTGCCCCAGTTCAAAGGGGCCAAGGACAACAAGAACAACATGCCTTAACAGGTAATGTGTCTGCCCCAGTTCAAAGGGGCCAAGGACAACAAGAACAATCCTTAACTGGTCATGTGGCAGCGCCAATTCAAATGGAACAAGGAAAGCAAGAACAAGCCTTAACTGGTCATGTGGCCGCGCCAATTCAAATGGGCCAAGGACAACAACAACATGCCTTAACGGGTCATGTGTCTGCCCCAGTTCAAAGGGGCCGAGGACAACAAGAGCAATCCTTAACTGGTCATGTGGCAGCGCCAATTCAAATGAGCCAAGGACAACAACCCGCCTTAACTGGTCATGTGGCGGCCCCAGTTCAAACAGGCCAAGGACAACAAGAACAAGTTCAACAAGTAACAGCAGGGGTGGGCAGAAACATCTTCCCGGTTGTAGGTCAAGATGGGCTCTCAGTTGGGCTGCAGGGACAGGTCCATCTTGAGACGGATTGGCTGTTGGATCCCACTTGCAACATAAACATTGAAGAGTTCCTTGACTTGCAGTCAATGAACTAGCCAGACTCTACCCCCATGCCTTATGATCAGTTTGAGTTAGACATTTAAATTTAGTGTAGATTATTGTGGAGCCTACCTTACATCGGAATTCATGTTGTTTCGATCTCTGTGTTTCTTTTTTACTTTGTATTTGGCAGCAGGACAAGAACAGAGTACATGCATGGTTACTTTCGCCTTGCAAACTAATTGAACTTATTTTACTTATTTTAGTACGTAGTATTTTCTTTTTCCCCACTTACTATTGCACTTAAGTGATTCACTTTTTAAGATGGCATTAAGTTTAATTCATTTTACCTTGCACGGAAATTATAATTATTTTCACTGGAGCGACCACATTTTGGATTCTTGATATGTGTAACATACATTGCAGTATATATTTGACAAAATGTGCAATCTTTGTATTTAAGAGACAAAATCTTTGAAGAGATATTTCACATACATGCCCTTCAGAACACTCTTTTCGTTATCTGTAATTTGATTTTCACCTTTTGGGAGTGTTTACCATGAAGAAATTAGGACATCAGGCTAAGTTGCTCACCAGACTTCACGGAGAAGTTCATATCTTGCATTGGATCCAAATATACTTTTTTCATCATTGTTGCCTTTAAGATTTCCGTTCTTGGAATGTGTTGAAGTCGGTGTTTTGTCAACTATAAATGTGAGAGGAGAACCTACTTCATCCAGTTCCTCATCGCTCGTGTATCCCTTCCTCTGTATGGAAGAAGAGGTACGAGAAAACTGGGACTTCCTGTCAACCTCTGCAACCTTCTCTGCAACATCAGCAGATGAAGGAGGAGTGTACACTACTGGAGCAGCAGGGTAAGGGAAGCTGCCAGTGCGCTCGGCTGATAATCCATGCTCTATGATGCACTGTAAATAGGAAAGACCAGACATGCAAAAGTTAATATGCTGGCACATATTACTAATTTGACGTTGTAGCATATTTTCCTATCATAAAGTGTTTTCAGCGTTGTTTTCAAGGATACTTTATGAAAAGGATTCAAACGTTGTTTTCAGCGTTTTTAGCAAAAAGCAGAAAAGAGTTTTTTTAAGCTAGCGCAAACACGGCTAATGTCCTCCAACCAAATAAGGGGATGCAGACTACGCTTGCTTAATCCTAAATACAACTACCAAGATAAGTAAAGTAATAGTCAAACCTCAGCATTGACGGCCTCTAACACGGCACCAGGGACGGGATCGGGACAAAACTCGTCTGGAGAGAAATTACAGAGGATTCTCTTGAGCAAGGAAAGATGTATTGATGGACAAACCTGGAGCAACAGTCAGATAGTCAGTGTAATGAAATGCTTAATGACGTGGATTCCAAACATTCTGAAAATTATACGTATTCAAATGATATTACCTCCATTCTGATTTTTGAATCCATAAGCATGTCTTTTGGAAGCATTAGAAGGTCACTCAAGGCATTGAGAAGATTGAAGTAGTCTTGTTGTTCATCTCCGTCTTCTCCTTTACCGTCATACTCAGATTTGCTAAAGTCATTTTTGGCTGATTCACCAAGAGCAACGCCAAATAATTCTGTTAGCCTTCTAGACCAATTGCCAACCTGGAAAGAATGTTAAGGATATCAAAACTACAAAAAGAATAAAATGACCAAAAGCATAATGGATTGCAGAAGGGCAAAAACTGTAAACTAAGATTAGGAAACATTATTAACAAAGGCGATAAAATTTTATTGTAAGCTATGGAAGGGTGTGGTGGAAGGGGAGCATTGGCAGACCAGGATCAAGTCTTGGGAGCGATCACTTGTCCAAAGACTTGCCCCTTATACGCCACTGTGATGGGACCCTTCTCCTGGACCCCCGGAATTGCAGAATACCTTCGTGCACCAGGCTGCCAGTATATGAAAGGGTGGGGGTGATGGCAGGTCATATTCGGCAATCCGTGTTTACAAAATAGGTTGATATTGAGACTCGGAAAATGGGAGGGAATAAAAACAGGAGGAAAATAGAAAAGGACATCGGAAGGAAAGAAGATTTAAGGGAAAATAAAAGATGTAGTTATGATCAATAAACTTATTTATTATACATCATTACATCCCCCATACCAAAAACAAGTTCTCGGTTTGACCTGCACGGAAACTTATGCAAGAATGCAAGTTTGAGTTATTTTACTGTCTAATTACACCCAGTGACCTAGAGGTGGGATTATGGAACGGTAGGGTTCCTACGAATGAGTTTTGCTAAATGGTTCAGTACCTTGTGGATGCTAACGATTCGGTTCTTGGTTCCTATAAAAATATGAGCATGCAACCGCAAAGGAACCGTTATTAAAAATAAAAATAGTAAAAGTAGTAGTAGTAGTTGTAGTAGTAATAATAATAATATACTAATACCAAGGGAAATTAACCTAAATAAGAATAAAAACGTCAATATATTCAATAATAGGACTATCATGTTTTATTCCCAAAATAGGAGTTATTATTGACATGTTTTTGTAGTACCAGACTTTAAACATGACAATATTTTCTAAGTTTGGCAGTAATTACTCCTATTTTGGAAATAAAAACATTGCAGTCCTATTTCGGAATTCTCAAACATTTATACTCCTAGTTTGGGAATTTTCCCAAACAATAGCAATAATAACCACAACAACAAGAACAACAACAAAAATAATAATAATCATAATAATAGTAGCTAAACAATCAATGATATTTAGCCAACAATTCAAACTTAACCAATGAAAACAAGCAAAAAGCAAATAGTAAGTGACATTTGCCTATTAAAATGTTCTTTTCATGGAGGAACTGCAACTTCATTTAGGACAGAGGCAGTATTCACATTAAACATAATATATTAAATTATGAGCCCATTTGGTAACAATAAAATTGACTAGTGGTTGAATCCGCTAAAATTGGTGAAATTCTGGTTGAATTCGTTGAATCAGCTGAATTGTGAATATATTATAGTTAAAATATATGGAGTATTTTATTAATAAAATAACGAGACAATTATACGAAAAATAGCTAAAAAAGTTCTCTTCAGCAACATAAGCCAACTCAATCATTAAAGTAACTCCTACCTTACTTATTTTGATTATTATGCATTTCAACACGCGAAATAAAAATTTGTGTCTTCATCGTCGTCATCATTATCCCAGTGCCGCAAAGGATCTCACCTATTGTGGGGTAGGGGGGTCGGATGTACTTGTATATGTGAAGGCAAAAAGTTTTGTGTAGAATTTGTAAAAAGTTATGTGTTTCGTAAAAAATATATTTGTATTCATGAAGACAAAAAATAAATATATTTGTAGAATTTTTAAATTAATCACATATCAATATCGTTTCCATTTCCAAGGTAAATTCATACAAACAAAGCTTAGCTTTCCTTATCTTTTTCCCATTTCCCTGACATTTTCCAGGAATCCAAACATACCCTAAAACTACAAAGATTGGGCATAACTTACTGAATTTTTTAACTGAGCACCAGATCCAAAACTTAAATCCCCAGCTGGAATAGGCAAAACCTTTGACTCAACTATTGGATCAGAAACAGGATCAGTTGGGATCTCATGAGCTGATTCGCGAAGAATAGCATTAAACATTGCCACATCTAATCTCGCAACACATTGTTTTATTACCTGATAATACATAAAAGGTAGAAAGTTAAGAAGAATATCTATCGAAATTATACTTTCCTTAGTGAAAGTAGACTAGTACACATACCCTTCTTGCCAGCACAGGTAAGCAGCCACATTCATGCCCACCAGCCCGAACAGGACATAATCTCATCAAAGCATCTTTGAAAGCATTATTCCATAGATCAATTGAGAAGCGCCCTTGCTCTTGGTCACCTAAGGCGGGACCAAGTAGTTTCCCGGCCGTCTTTCCCATTGATAGATGACTAATCTGACATTGCATATTTGGAGTGAAGTCCTGAACACAAAGAACTAATCAGCATTAATTAAGAAGCATATTACACGGAAGAAGTTCATAAAGCTGCTTCTCAATGTCCAAGGAATAAATGTGCCAGTCATATATTAAACCTAATTAATTTATGGATTTCTAAAATAGTTTTATGTTGCCTGATTTGATTATTGCAGTTCTATTGGGGGAGCAAACACCACAGGAGAAAATCCCTAATCAATATATAAGGTTTCATTTGGAACTTTGAAAATGATAGGGAAATAAAAAGATATTCAGAAACAATTAAACACAACATAGTAA